ATATAATATATGTCAATGTTAAGCTAGTTTTTGAGAAGAAACTATCAATATAGATCATTATGAAGCTGTTTTGCAATGAAATCATGAACATCCACTATTTTAAGATACATTCTTCAATGAAATCATAGTGATTTGTAAAGAAATACGTCTTGAGCCACTAGTGTGATGGAGCTTTGTGGCGGAGGGGTGCTCTGTGGGGTGGAGCTTGGCTACCGACTGAGCTCCAGGGAGGAGCTTTGTGTAAATAGGTGGTGCTTTGTACCAGCAAGCGTTTAGGCAGCTCCACATGGCTCCACAGGAGATTGAAGGATTTCGAAAAATATGAATTAATGAGTCAAAGCAACACTTTGGGTATGTTTTGATGAGGGAATAACATTACAACATGATATAATGCTCAAAGATGTCGAATTTGCATAACACCCCCCCCCCCCTTTAAATGTCTTAATTATTTAATGTCTCCAGCATGATAGGGCTCATAACTGCTCAGTGTTATTTTTAACAGACAGAAAAGCCAGGCAACTTCTCAGAAGGCTTTTCTACTTTCCTCAGGTTAATATGAAACAAGTGGGGGACAGAAAATAACCCTGTATCCACAAACCCACACACCAACGCATAAGTTTGAGTCATCTATATGGTGTTAAACGTTTCCTTTTTAAATACCACAAACATCTAATCGTTGCATGCATCACAGAAACATTTAACCATGCTAACATTTAACCACTGTGCAAGTTTTATTGCTCGCAACATTTTCTTTCTCTGTCTTTGCAAGTGTTTATTTTTCCGACACATTCTTCGGCTCTCACCGTATGCGGTGCAGATGAGGTGCGTCTCTGGGTAGGACTTCCACAGAATCCGGTCACACCACGACGGCACGTTGACTCGCACCTACAGGGAAAGAAATCCGCTTTACGTAAACAGTGACGAGCTGTGTATGTCTACATCTGTATTTAAAATAAACACACTTGTAGAAAAATACACACACAGGCCTGACTTTATTGCTGTTACGCCAGACATTCCTGTTTTAGACACGAGGTTTAATCTTAACCTGATATTTTTAGTCATCGGAGCTGCTGTTTGTCAAAGTCATTTATCCCCACAGCTTCCAGAAATAGGATTAAGTTAGAAATTATCTTACGAAGTGTGCACTTGGAATAGATCAGTAGCGTCTTAATGGTCTGGGCTCTGGATTACTGATCAGAAGGTCGGAGGTTCAAGCTCAGCACTTGTTGTTGGCTCCCACTGTTTGGTATTTGATGACGCTTTTGAAGCTTATCTGCTCTGGGTGGGCATCACTCCGTGGCTAATCCTGTCCTAAGAGCCCAAATCCCAACAAGTTGAGAAAATACAGATTTTGGAATTGAACGGCTCAGGGTGGAAAGCAACACACACAGAAAAAAAAGACTTTAAAGGTGTTAGATTTTGGACTGAATATAAATTTCATGACTTGTAATCCCACTTTTTTAGATTTTATTTGCTGCAAAGCTCATCTTAAATGTTTAAAAAATATATTTGGCCGCTTGCCTGAATTCTCTGTCAGTCAGCTGCTGAACTGTTTGATGGTTTGTACTGTTAGTGGTGCAGTTTTGTGGAGCAAACTGAGACTCACCCCTGAGGTCTTGTATTTCTGCCACAGATAACAGTCCCTGGAACCTCGCTCATACCGGTATGTGGGTGGAAATACTATCTTCTCTTCCTCTTAAACATGACAGAGTCAAAAAGCATTAGTGAAATACACAAATGCAGAACTGACTTAAAATATATATTTTTAATTTATTGTCTATTTAAATGCAGAGACTTACTGAAACTGAAAAAGGCCTTCCTCTTGTGCCTTTCTCGGGTTAACTGGTCTGCACACATGAGCTCCTCAAACTCTCTTTTGGACACGTGTTTCAGGATGTCCTGTAGATAAAAGAAGACAGGACTTTTTTCACATACATTGAAAACTTTCACAATAAAAGCCCAGTATTTCATGAGGGAATGCCATTTGTCACCTTCCATGCCAGAGTTTTAGACTGAGATCATCTTATGTTAAGAAAGGACAGAGTTGTCACTGTTTTGGACAAACTTTAATATCCAGAGATGTCACAATCAGAAAATGTGTTGTCAGTGACTCTCAGCTATGCCACGACCAGTTTGAGCTCAATATCTGTAAAACTGACTGAGTTATAACTGTTGGAGTTATTCATATTTTGCTAACAGGCTGATAGAGTTAACAATTATTGCTGAAGTTTAAGCAAAGATCTTCTCCAAAGAGAAGTACTTTGAAGTTTTCCCATGAATTTTACCCATTTTGTCACATAACTGGCACATTTTCATTTGATTTTGGCTCAGCCAATGTGAAACAGGAAGTGACATCAAAGGGGAACTGTTTAAGAATGAAAACCCCTGGTCTTGAGCTAATGAAAGCACATTTTGAATATCAAAAATTGAATATAGATGTATTTTATAAAAGTTGGGGGAAATGAAATATTAGAGAAGAAATGTTCAAACTTGCACATAAGGAAGGTTCTGTGTAGTTCAAGTACAGTGTCGCCCAGAGGAAAGTTTTTCTGGAATGCACAGTTTAATATAAGTTGGAAAAAAACATGGATGTCTCACTTTCAATATTGTATTTCAAATAAAATAAGAGAGCTTAATTTCAAAATTGTATACAATATTTTCCCATGTAACAAAAACTTGTCAATTTTTAAAGATGTTGATGAAAATTGTTCTTTTTGTCAAGTTGATTTAGAGACTGTATTACATTTATTTTGCAACTATTCTCACTCTTCCGGGTTTTGGAGGAACGTGGAAAAATTTGTCAAGGATAAAACTAAGCACACTATCCAAATCAGGCCTAAATATGTTATAATCAGATTTGAATGTATTGATAAAAAAAAATTGAGTTTCTTAATTAATCTAATGATCCTTTTAGGGAAATTTCATATACATAAGGCAAGGTCCTCCAGATCTCTCCCGAACCTGCTTTCTTAGTAGACTTGAATTCATATGTTAATACTTTAAGATTAAATAAAAATAAAAAGTCAGAATTCATTCTGCTGCATCTTTGATTGACCCTGAAAGTCAAGAATTATAATGTGCCTTGGTTATTGTATGTTTTTCTTATGATGCATGTTCTTTGTAGAATGTCTGTGCTGATGACAGTTTCCTTTTGTTGGTAACAAAGAAGACCAATAAAGTTTTTGAAAAAAAAAAACTCCCTGGTCTTTGTTTATTAAAATAATATTTTTTTGAATTCTGACTCTTCTTCTCTCTGATAGTGGCTCAAAATAATCTAAAGAAACATCAGATTCTTCTCTACAGTCTGGGTTGTCAGCCATTGTAGCAACTCTGTTTACATGCTGTCATTCCCTTTTAACATCACTTCCTGTTACTTCACATCCAAATATCTCAACTGTTCATGTCACCAGACTGAAATTTTGTTAGCAAAATGTTATCAGTGTTATCTGTCTGAAAATGCAACCATATTTATTACAAAAATTGGATGTCACAGGCACTATAAGATCAATTAACTGTGGCGACCATCTTGGATCAAGTTGATTCCAAGAGTCTAGATGTATATCCAATGATTACTTCCAGAAAACGTCATTAAAATTCATATTGTGGTTTGTGAGATATTTTGTTAACAGACATGAACACAACACAGACACAGGCAAAAACATCCTAGCCACTTTTCCTTTCCTTTAAAACATCAGAACAGAAAGTACAGCAGTGGATCTGACCTGGACATCCAGATCAAGCCTGTAGTTGAGGTCTCCACACCAGAAGAGGTGGGTGAAGCGCAGGCTGATATCAAAGCCGTAAAGCTGTTTGTCCCCCAGAGAAAGAAGTCTGAGGATGTCAATGAAGTTCTGGTTCCTCCTGGACAGTAACAGATAAAAAAGAGACTTAATTTAACAGAATGAAAATGACACAAGTTAACAAAGGTTTCTCACACATAAAAACACACAATGAACCTCAATACTTTGTCACTTCCTGAGGTCAGGTGACAGTTCACAAACCCAAAGGATGTTCCATTAAAGAGGAAGGAAACTCCAACAGCTCCTTTATTACCTGAAATGACAAAAAAAGACTCAAAACCAAATCTTCAGAATAATTCAAACAGTTTAATGTCAACATATTTAAATATATGCTGCATGAGAATATATCATTTTTATTGCCTGCTGCCATAAAAGAATGATCATGTACCGTTTTGTGTGGCCAAAACAATGGTTATAACTAATATCAGTTTTTTGTTGTGTGGTTGTTGAGAGTCATCCCTGACACATAATCTGAGCACTGTCATGTTGTGTTTGTGATGGTGACATCACACAACAAAGTTTACCCAACGTGTTGCCCAGGCCAGTCTTCACATTGGCTGTGTTCACATGACTGATGCGGCTCTCATGTTCAGGCCTCGCAAACACGGCCAGCCTCATGTTCCAGAGGGACTGCACTGCCACCTGCAGGAAATTGTGTCACATTACAACAAATATTGTGTTCCACGCACACCACGTTACACATAATCCATTCTGCTTTTCAAGGCTATCTGTTCAAATGCATTGGCTGCAAAAGCCAAGAAATGAGCTAATTATGGAATAAGTAAATAATAAATAAGTAAATGACAAATCTGTCTTTTTTTCTGTTTTGATACTTTATTTTAAAGACTACACTCTTTTGAGTAAATTCATCTTTATTTAATGTTTAGAACAGAAAAGAAACAGCCTTTATAGTCCCGTGCAGGTAAATTATTAATTTACGTAAAAATATACAAATTATAATACGAATTTTACTAAAACCTTAAACCAGTTGTTTTTAATTTTGCAACAAAAATAATTTATTTTCACACATGACACAATTTGCTGTTAAAATGCAACATATTTTTAACAGCAAAACTGTGATATTCTTTAAACAGCTGACTGATTATCATTAGAGCTACTGACTTGGAAATAATGTTTTTAAATGTATATTTCCTTTTGGATTTGATAAAAAGAGCCAGATAAATTGTGGTGTCACTTTGGCCATCATATTAACAGTAAATTAGTTGTCTGCTTGCAAAAAAAGTTTGCTGATTTTGATTAAAGTTCCAAACTGTAAAAACAACCAAATAATTTTAATTTCATTGTTGAACATTTAGTCATACTATGTTACTCAGTTTTAAAAGCTGCACAGTGCCTGATTTTCACTTTACTAATCTCACTAACTTCTAATCAAGCATTTATGAAACACTAATATGTGGCACATTCAAATTTAAAAAGCCTCAGTCAAAGCTGAAAATGAGATGAAGTAAAAAAAAATTACTAGTTTGAAGTCAACGTGAGTGTAGCTGTGTAGAGTTGCTTTAATGTGCTCCGTCCACTCCTTTTCCCCCTGAGGGTTTTCCTGAGTCCCCAAAGCGTAGATGTCATGCGGAAGTAAAGCCGTCGAGTCGTCGGGGGTGTGACCCAAACCGCAACAGGTCACCCATGACTGCAGGCTGCGAGGAGGAGGGGAACCACCTGGAGACCATCCTAATGTCACACTGACTGATTTAACACACCAGTAAGTTATCTGTCAGGACATGCATGCTCACCCATATTCCAGGTGCCAACAAACACAGAGACCAGATCAGGCTGGTTCAGCTGAGAGTGTGTGGTCTTCATCAGCAGGAGGAGATGGCAGAAGGATTCACATTTCTATAGCAGATTTTTTTTAATGAGTCATTGGAAAAACAATTAAAGATGAGTCTGCTCATATTATCTTACCCGCGCGCTCTCAAACGTCATCTCCCGCGGAGTGTTCTGGTAGCTGTCGACCACGACCCGTATCTTTGCCGGGCTGTTTTGAAACTTGACAATCTGGAGGACTGATGCATGAGGAACATTACAACTGATATTTTTATATCTACTGTTGATCAACTTTGCTGTATTAATTGAAAGGACATGAACTTGTCATTTCACTTTAAGCACAAACACGCCCCCCAGTGTTGAAGAAAAAAATAACACACACTTTGAGTATTTTCTTACTTCTATCATGTGAGACTCTTTCTACTCCGAACAAGCCGGGTTTCCTGTCAAAAAGCAGCGCTCCTGCATCTACATCCACAGAAACTGTTTGTCTGCCGTACCTCACCACCTTTACCTGATGAGGAAAGCCCAGAGTCACATCGATCAGCTGATTTACAGTCATTTACAGTCAAAAGCAGCTGCGAGATGAGTGCGTTTTTACCTGAAAGGAGTGCACAGGTATCTGCCTGGTGTGGGTTTTCACAGGTGCTACAGGTGTTGGTTCAGGAGGAGCTGGGCTTGGCTGCACTGCCAGGTTGTGATTAGTCACAGCATCTTGTAATGCCTTTAACACCTACATGACAAGAGAATACTGTTGTGTTGTGCTCAAAGAATATTTACATATTAAGAACAAAATGTGTTTTTTTCTTATTTGTGTCTATGTGTGCTTTAATAATAATGTGAAAACTGCACAGATAAATGATAATGCTGACTGACAAGGTAGTAGCTTAATTATTCCAAGAAAAGCAATACTTAGATGTGTAATTTCTACATTGTTATAATTTATCAGATCATCAGTGTGAACTCACCTTTTTCTCTAATGAAGACAGAAGGCTGACCAAAGCTGAGATCTTACACAACAGGCTGTCAATCTCCATCTCTGGACACTTGATGCAAAAACACAAAGCAGAAAGTCAACATTGATGTGTGTATTTGTTAGAGGTCTACTTGGAAAAAAAAAACGAAGTAAAAGGAAAAATACTTTAACAGAAATGACTTTGGTAAAAATGAATTTCACTGATAAGAAAGGCACTTCAGTAAACGTTATAAAACTGCTCATAATAGTCAGGAAAGTAAAAGTACTTTTACACACACTCCAAGACATGAAGTGTTAATTTTAATTGACCAAACTGGTAGGGGTGCAACGATACAGGAAATTCACGGTTCGGTTCAGTTCGGTTCGATACAGTACTTTAGTCTCACGGTTCGATATCTTTTTCGATACAAAAAAGAGAAATTTCCATGCCCCCTTTAACTTGTAATTTATTATATTAATTATGAACATTTATTTAACCTCAAAAGTACAGTTTTTTAAATTAAATGTTGCTGAAACAGCAAGTTTCTCAGCGGACCTGCGCTCAAAATGCAGCCTAGGTGGAGTAGTAGAACACAGATCCACTGATCCTTTAACACAGAGCATCTTCAGAAGACAAGTTGATAAAGTAAAATTTAAAAATCTGTATTGTTCGATACAGCACTGTTCGAACGTACGGTATAGTTCGATACGGGTACATGTATTGTTATACCCCTACAAACTGGTTCCACCACACCGAGTCAACTAAATTGTCCGCCATTTTTCTTTTAAAGAAAATCTGTGAATTGCTTTACTCGGTTTAGCAGAACCAGTTAACATAATTTGGTTTAATAAATTCAACACTTCATTTTTTAGAGTGCATGAACTGCATGTTTCGTGATGAGTTCAGGTCATATTTAAACCTGTAACGTGTTAAATTTTACAGTAAAGAAGTAAAAGTATAATTTTTAGGTTTTGAACGTAACAAAATAAAAGTGAAAGTTACAAATTTAAAATATACTCAGAAAAGGTTACAAATCCTCCCACTGTTCCTTATGGGGACACAAGCCCTGTCCCCATTGGGGAAAATATTGTTGGTGGGTCAGGGTTAGGCTATAGAAATGACCAGTAAACGAATAGAAGTTAATGCAAAGTCCCCATGAGGATAGAAGAACAAATGTGTTAAGGACAGAGCAGATTGCTCTTCATGAGAAAGCTGAGATCCTTCAATGTCTGCAGCAAGATGCTGCAGATCTTCTAAAAGTCTGTTGTTGAGACTGATCTCTTCTTTGCTTCTTCTTGGTCAACAATCATTTTAGGCTACTGGGTTACCATTTTGAGAACAAGTAGCTATAATAGTGTAGTGTTTGTAATGTACCTGGGACTTGTTGGGTGTTAGAGAGCAGCTCGGATGGTCGAAGACTTTGGCCAAAGTTTCCAGACTCACAAGTGTGAGATCAATCTCACTGCAGACCAAACAAAAGCTTATTACAAATTCATAGGTGACATTTTAGCAAAATCACTACTGAAAATACAAACCAACCAATGTTATAATGGTCTTTAAAAATACCTTAAGTGTTGGTTGTAACTGACCTGTTGAGGCCTTGGCAGGCAGCAGCCAGCGTACGCTTCAGGTGCCTTAATGTCGTCGCCCCTTTGTGCACATTTTCAATGTCGAGAGGCAGCTCACTGAAGAGGTAGTCATTGAGCAGGCCGATCACCTCGCCTGCAGCACTTCAGACAAACATAAACATCAGACAATAATTCATCGGCTTGAGTCAGTTTAAATTGTCATCTCACAGGAAAAAATAAAAATATAAAGTAAAACAAAATTCTGAAACTTGTGGGGAACCAAGTGCGACAAGATCCAGCTTTCCAGATCACAGCAGAGCTCGCGACACTGTTTATTAATGAGACCTAAAGGGTCACGGGGGACAGTGTTTAACAAGTAGCTGCTATGCTCCAATGCCCACAGGTGCAGAAGTGTTTAAAACTGAATCAGTTGCAAACATGTCAGGCTATGAATGAGAAAAAAGTTTTCGTGCAGTGGGTGATGCTTCAAAAAATTCACATTTCATGTAAAACGTAATCGCAAGTTAAAGCAAAGTTGCTTTGCAGAATCTTAAAGGGATCCCCGATTAGTTGTAACATTAGACTTTATTTGATAAACATATATTTTAACTGTAAAATAAAGACTGCAAAAATAATGTAGGCTGTTTAGTTTTGTAAATTTTTAAAAATATATTTTAACACGGTCGGGGCCATTTTATCTATATGCAAAGCATTCTGGGTAAATGATGACATGGATAGGTCATCGGTGTGAGGCTGCTAGCGAGCTATATCCACCCTGAAGGTTAATCTTGGACAATATCTGATGATCGACTCTTTTAAATGAAACCAGAGAGCGTTGACAGAGAGGAGAAGGTAGAAATGACTCAGCCTGTAACTGAAAATATGGATGGAGGACAACAGAGCTGCTTCATGGAAGAAGAACCTCAGCTTAGCCTGTTAGCCTTTGTGCTAGCACCAACACATTTGCCTTATACATGTATTAGCTCAGCGCTATTGCGACAAACAAGCTAAAATGAGGTCCTCCATCCATATTTTCAGTTGCATCTGAGACATTTTTGCGTTCCCCTCTCTGTCATGTGGATGGAGGACCTCAGTGATGATAGGAGAATGTGTAGCGCTGAGCTAATACATACTGTATATATGGTGACAGTGTCGGGGCTAACGCTAAAGCTAACAGGCTAAGCTGAAGTTCTTCTTCCATGAAGCAGCTCTGTTGTCCTCCATCTATATTTTCAGTTACAGGCTGTCATTTCTACCTTCTCCTCTCTGTCAACGCTCTCTGGTTTCATTTAAAAGAGTCGATCATCAGATATTGTCCAAGATTAACCTTCAGGGTAGATATAACTCGCTAGCAGCCTCGCACCGATGACCTAGTTGATGTCATTTACCCAGAATGCTTTGCGTGTAAATAAAATGGCCCCGTCCATGTAATATATATTTTTAACTTTTAGTTTAAAAATGATAAAAACTGAACATCTTACAGTATTTTACAGTCTTTATTTTACAGTTAAATATATGTTTATTAAATAAAGTTTAATGTTACAACTAATCATGGATCCCTTTAAAAGATTTAATTAAAGATTTTAATTTAAGTACTTAACACGACAAATTACAAATAATACTTGGATGTATTCAGCTCCTGCAGCTTCTCCAGGAAAACAGCATGGGGGGCTGGTTTTGCTGGTGGTCCTGTGAAAGACACGGTGTTGATGGAGGCTGGAGTGGGAGCGGGCTTCTCATCGTCTGTGCACGTAAAAAAAAACAATATCTGAATTATAAACTATAGCAACAAAGAATTGAAACGTTATTTTAAAAAGGACAAAACTCACAATGTTCACCTTGTATAATGTTTTATATTGTGCAAAAATCAAACAAAATTTTGCAGAAGTTTGATAAATTGCTCTTCGGGGTTGTTTCGAAGATGTTTTTTTTTTTTCGTAGATTCTGGTTGTTTTTTTTTTCACTCATATTCTGACCGTAACTGCTTAACGTGTAGTGTGTGTTTAAACAGTTAGAAATGTGGACAAGTGAAGGACAAAAAAGTGCTGTCTGGGGGGGGGATGTAATAATCATGTCATTAAACAACAAGAAAATATTCATCAAAGACCTGAAACAGGACTGATGCATTGTCCTTTCATTATTCATTCATGACAAGTTATCTGCTAATAGCTCACTGAGAATCACCTTGTTCTTTTTCAATTTCATGTGCCAAGCTGGTAATTCAGCTGAATAAATTGGAATAAATTAGGTTTTAAGGAAAGACTGCTATTAGCAAAGTTCTCTATAGCATTTTAAATAAGTTGTCAGTTATGTAAACACAACACTGGCTCATCCTTTGAGTGTCAGAGCCTTTTAATGCTGGAGTTAATTCAGTAGGGGAAGTTGTTTGAAAATGTTGACCTAATAGAAAACCAGTGAAAAAGCAGCCAAAGAGAAAAAAAATACAACAATGTCTGTTTTATTGGAAGCAAAATCTAAAGAAGCTTTTGGACTTTTGCACAGTGCTGTCCATTACCAGCTGGTGACCCACCTGAGCTCTCATCCCCAGTGTCAGTGTCAGGAGGAACGGCGTAGAGGAGCGGGATGACCAGGCCTTTGTGTGGTTGCTGGTACCCTAACACCAAATCCTCAAGGGTCCGGAAACAGTTCACCTGAACCCCCTGTGTTGTCTGTGGAACAGATGGACATGATGGTAACGTGTTTGTTTCGGGCCCTGCTGGTTCAGGAAAAACAGAAGCATTAAATAGATCCCGTTGATAAAGAGAAATAATACTGCATTTGGATTGACTATTTTTGAATTATTTTTATTGTAAATTACATGTAATTATTTAGACTCTTTTTTTTTGGGGGGGGGGGGGTGACTGATTTAACCTGGAATTATTATTATTATTATTATTATTTATTATTATTATTATTTGTAAATGGACGTTTCACACAGGACCTCAAACCTTCTTTTCAAAATCATGCTTAATATACCAGATACTTATTTGCATGACAGAAAAAGATGCACGCAGATGATGTGCTGAGATAAAACACATCCCAGAGGGATTTCGAAAGCTGTGGCCCAGAGGAGAGGTGACGTCAGTGACAGCTCCTTCTTAACTGTAATGTTTCACTAGAATCCAACATTCACATTAAGTTAAAAAGGTATAAAAAAAACAACTTTCTGAAAGAAAATGTCTCAATACGCCTCATCCATGAACAATCCAGCTCTGAGTTTGCATAAAAATGCACACATCTTCACTTCAATCAAACTTTAAGCTCTGCAGTCAGAAAATAAGATTACATACTCACATTCACATGTACCAATTTACCATGGTACATGTTAGACCACAACGCAGAGCGAGCCCTTTCCTGCACCCTCTTTTTAGAATTTTTAGTTTTCATTTTGTGGCAAGAGAAACCATACTTCTGGCTTGAACAACCTGCCTGTTTTGCCAGAAAGTCTTCAAATAGTATTTTTTAAAACCACAAATATCTCTTGAAAAGTAATTTAAAAGAATTGAAAAGTAGGGAGAGAAAAAAAAAGGGCTTCAAGGGAGAGAAAGACAAAAAGTGACCCCCCCAAAATATCTCTCTGGCTTTCTTGGAAAAACAAAAAGGAAAGCGTGCGACTTCAGTGAGTTAGTGGAGCAAATCCAGGGGTGGGGTGGGGGGGGGGGGTTGAAAACACAGACTAGAGGTTTTTTACTGATGGCAGTGGAAAAACGAGGAAAAGCAACAAAGTTTAACGTCCTCATTGGAAAGTAGAGGCATTTTCCACATCAAAGGCTAAAAGAAATAAAAAATGAAATAACTCCTGCCAGACAAATGCCTTAAAAACTCATCTTCGGGCTTTAAACTTTAATATTCAGACAAAAGTTTAAATCCAGTTGCTAAGTGTTTTTGTTTGATTGTGTGGCTGCAAACTGTGGTTGTGGAGTGTTTTTATAGACTAATAAATAGGTCACCCCCACCACCACCACCACTCGCTCAGTTTCATCTGCCTCAGACTTCGCCACATCCAACAGACCCATTATGTCTACTACAAACACCCCCAAGCATGTGCATAAGAAATAAGCCCCCCTTTGGTCAGTAAATAAGTGTGTGGGTCGCGTAGGAATTTCTGAGACATGAAAACAAATTCTCCTCTGTGCTGCTGAGCTCACGCTGCAAACATGCAGCCACATGGCAGGAATGCCATAAGTGACTGCAGCCGTAACAGGGTCGAGGTGCGGGGTGGGGGGCAACACAAACATGTTCCTGTCCTCCATGCAACATAGAATAACAAACCAGGGCTTGGTACTTTCTGAAACATGGCAACTTTCTGGCCTCTTTCTTTGATTCAGGGTTGTGAAGCACTAAAGCACAACTATTACAATTTCCATTATTATTATTTTTTTTTTAATTTGTCCTGGATCTAGTTGCACATTATGCACCAAAACATATGGCTCAATTGAGACTAGCATGCAATGGCATTTGGTAAAGGTAAGTCATTCAACATTGTCAAAATGAGTAAATAAATAAATAAATAAATAAATAAATAAATAAATAAATAAATAAATAAATAAATAAATAAAATCTGTGGGAATATAAAAGGATATCACAACACCTGAGAAAAGCCAGCCCTCCTTGGAGCTCTGTAGCTCAGGCGTACTTGACAGTAGAAACATAAATCAAAAACATTAAACCATTTAAGAAAAAATGGGTCTCTACAAGCCAAAAGTGGTATTTTTATGTAAAGTTTTTGGATTTCTAATGATGTTATTTTTTTTCAAAGAATGTTCAATTTAGTGTTGATGACACACATCATGTTTTAACTGTCTGAAACAATTCCAACTAAACTCTACTCACCACTGCAACATTTTTGGTACACAAACAAACTTTGCATCAGAATGGAGACTTTAGTCTGTTTGGTTGGACCCACACCTATATTTTTCTCACCAATTGTATCTCTCACTTCCCCCAGAATACAGTTATACTGTTAGAATTTAGCTCAAAATATTCACTTCTAAACTGGAAGTGAGAGATTTTTCAAACTTGTGTTTTTTTTTTTAAATCATTTTACTCTTTGTCAGGTGAAGCGTCTATTTCTCACCTGAACTGCCAGAAGACCATCTGCATCAGGAAGAATACGATATGTGTGAACATGGCGTTGGAATCTTTGGAAAACAAAAATATGTTGTAATAAATGTTACATATATCAAAACAAACAATCAAAGATCAAATGTTAATAAATCTGAATATTTATGTGTGTGCGTGCGTGTGTGTGTGTTTGTACAGTACATATATTACAAGTGGCAGTTGTTATTAAAGTTAATATAGTCATGCCTTTTTTCCATAATATACTGTTTGGAAGGCTTTTTTAAAATAAATGTAATCATCATCAGCATTGGAAACAAAGTTCTGTGATGACAAAGGGACTGGATTAAAAGAAAAGAGGATGATTTAAAGAGAAAAGAATGAAAGGAAAGAGACTGCGCTGTGAGCCAGGCTCAGCTTTCAGGAATGTATCTGGCTGGGCCGAGGAACAGTCAGCGTAGTGCGGTTGCTGGAGCTCCAGCCCACTTTTAGGGGCCCCGAGGAGGAAAGAACAGGGATAAGTGGGGAAACACGGTGTCATACATTTGGGTTTGACTTGTTGGAATAGACTTTTCTGAACAGAGCAGTTAAACTGATTGGCAGTTACTTTGCAGCCTGGTGGCAGATGATGGTGATGTAAGACAATGGATGTGACAGGATGAGTATTTACAAATACAATTTACAAATCTATTTTACAAAGAAGTACGCAAATACTGACAAATAATTAGGAGATTGAGTCATACAGTTTGCAGTCATTTTAAGTGCCAACAGATGATGTGAAATTTTGCAAAAAACGTGATTGCACATTACGTCGTTTTCAAGGTTTGACCAAAATAGTTATACCTTTGTCATTTCTCAATATAAGATGGTCTTAGTTTAAAAATAGCAAGGAATGCATGGTATTTCAATTAAAAAATGTTTTGTAGCATGGTAGAAAAAAAATGTCTTCACTTCTCACACACTGGATACAAAAATTACCAATAATTCAGCAATCAGCTGACAATTACTTTAAAGGAGGTTAAGTAAGTAAAATACAATTTTACCACCATATTTTGCTAATTTTCGCAAAAATATATAATTTTGAATGCAAAGCTTCCAACTTCCAATAACTGTCAACCTTCAACCATAAAAATTATTAATTTTAAAGCACCTATTTTGTTTCACACTAAGTTATGTAAATTTCCCACCAAATATGGTAAACAAATGGACCAAGTGCAAAATAAAATGTGAGAAAATGTCACAAACGCATTTTCATTATTTAGCTCACTTTCTGATTGTATGTTGATAATTTAGCTGGGATGATGTCATCAACCTGCAACAGACGTCAACACTAACTGCTGCTAATGCTAACCGCTGCTAATGCTAACTGCTGCTAATGCTGCTGAAGATGGGATTTACAATACAAATTGTGTTCACTGAAAACAATGGATGGTACCCGTGGTCCAGCAGTTTGAAGTGCAGCTCGGACACCGGTCCCACCTGCAAGTTTAATGTCGTATGCGCCGCATTTAAGCAGTAGCAGTTGCTTTTGTCTCAGTATGACGATGTCTTAACAAGAGACACACCAATATCAAAAGCTGCGTTCCAGTCCAAAATATGTAAACGTAAACTTCAACACAACATTTAAGATTTAACTTTTACATTAAGAGTTACACATTTAGATTTAGGATTTAATATTTACATATATTATTTGACATTTAAATGTAACTCAAAAAGAAAAAATAAGTAGGTCCTCTGGATGGGTTCTTCTTTTGTGAAACATTTAGTCTCTCCTCCAAGAGACTTCTTCAGTCTGATGAGTTTCAGGTGAACTCAGCCTTATAAGCACTGCCTCCACCTGGACAAACAGGTTGGTCACATGCAAAAGAGGGCCATCCCCTAACAATAGGCTTGATTAGTTCTATTGTTCATAGAGGGTCATGTGCCCCATTACCAGACTTATTGGTTTGGATGATTCGGCTGTGGTTATTTGGTGTTGTGTTGTCTGTATGTAGTGAGTGCAAGCGGGGCTCAATGTCCCCTTTTTTTGTCCCTCTTTCCCTCTTTGTGTTGGTATCATTGGGGCCCTGATTCACACCTTTTACTCACAGGGGTCTGAGTCATACTTGCAATAACAGCATTGTAGGAGGAGGACAACTGGACATGAAGGCCTCCACCTCTGTTTAATGGTGGACAGTTTTTCTTCGCGAAGATGGTTTCCTTTACGCCTGATGAGTGTAAATTGCAGAGTCCTGACCCGACGATGTAGCTCGTCTGTGTTGGCTCATTCTTTTGAACAGTGGCTGTTTTGTTTCCCCAATGTATAACTGATCCCAGTCCTGACACTTAACAGCAAATACTATATTACTCTGTTTTTGCCGGGGAACTGGATCTTTGGAGTGAACTAATCTTTGTCGTAACATGTTTTGGGGTTTGAAAGCCACTGGGACGTCATGTTTAGAGAATAAACGTTTCAGTTTCTCTGAAACTCCCGCCACATATGGAATGATGAATGGTCGAGACAATTTTTAACAAGAATTATGCTCTCAGAAAGTGAGCTAGATAATGAAAATGTGTTAATGGCATCTTGTAACATTTTATTATACACTTGGCGACCATATGAATATGTCTGTGTGTGTGTGTGTGTGTGTGT